TGACTCTTCCATGTTTCAGCTCCACAGACAAGACGCAACACCACCATTGGTCTTGTCAGACGTCTCAGGGACCTGAGTTCGTAGACTACAAAAATACTTCTGGGGTCAAAGGGTCTACAAAAACCAACCTGTGCAGGCCAAACCCACCAACAAGGCATTGGGGCCCATAGGGGATACAGAATCACCATGAAAACATATCGAGAAAAACCATGGAAAAACCAAACTTTTGGAGGCTATTTTTTTCCATTCAATCTCTTTCATAAAAATTGCACTTCTGTGCATTTTTGGTGGGCCGGTCAGGACCTAGTGGTTTTGAGTACCCTGGAACGTCCCCGACACCAAGCATTCAGGTGCTTGCACATTTAAAAATAGAAGACATATACAAAAAAGATCTCGCAAGTAGGTATGAAGGAAATACAGCCACACCATTCCCAAACCCAAACCACGTCATTCTCACCACTGAATCTTCTCAATCACAGGCATTCACCTGTGAAAGTGTCCAATCTGAGTTCAGTTAATGTCTGTTCTTAGCTTTCAACAAGTTAGTAAAATGGATCAAAGCGGATCCATTCTGGAACAAAGGAACTGTGCAGTCTTGGCGCAAAAGCAATCAAAAGAATACGATGGGACAGCCATGGGTGTCTTCACACCTTCATGTGCTGGGAATCATCGACATCAGATTGCGAACTGATCACGACAGGGTCTTCGACCATCATGGTATCGCTGGCAGAATCCTCTATGATCTCTGCAGGGGACACCGGAGAAACAGGCCGATTCATCCAGCACTGGAACAAGGACTTACAAAACTCACTAGTGAATTCTGCGGAGGAAGCTAGATCTTTTCCTCCTGTCCATTGCGATTTTCCATCTGCTTTCCTGCTGCGTGTGTAATATACCTGCAGCAGTGTGTTGTGAAACATTGGCAGGCTAGAAACACATTATGTATCATTATGATTCATTATGTATCATTTGTATTCATTTCTATTCATTTGTAGGCATCTGAAATTGGTTTGCCTAATTTATATTTCAGGAAAAAACACAATATCCTGAACTCATGACAAACAAGCTGCTTTCTTGTTCTGTCTCCTTGCTTGGCGCCGCCTGAAACGCTTGCTGATGCGAAGTCTGTCTGCTTTGGTCATCTTTCGCCGCAACTCCACGGCCGAGCTGCAGGGAGCATGAGGGGCAGGGAATGTAATTGATTCATACTGATGAAAAAGAGGTCAAGCTGTGCAAAATAAAACATTGCTGTGAGGTTGGCTTGACCTAAAAAGATCATTATAGATCTATATAGATCTATATAGTTCAAACATCTTCAAACACGTACCTATTAAATCGTATTAACACATATCGACACTTGGTTTACCCTGCCAGCCCTGCCTCAAGTTGCTGCTTAAGTGCGTACACTTGTGCATGTCGTGATTGTAGAGCCCCATCCACGTAACCACAATGAACCTGTGCCCAACCATCTGATCCCAGAATACATATAGCTACAGAAAGGAATTCCATATGGATCCATGCTACATAAAGAGTTTCTGGCATTCCCAAATGGTTTTTGAAATTACACTCACTGAATCTTACTGATCCATACTGACCCCCCAAAACAACTGACAGTATAGCACGAAGGTTCAAAGCCCAGGGACAGATTGAGTGCAGCAGCAAGCTGCAACATGAACTCCTGCTTATACGCCCAGGACCCACTTGGTTGTTCAATGATCAGAAAAAGTGAAGGACGGGCGTCAAACAACAGCTGGATGCATACAGCCTTGTCTGCACGGCCAACCCCATCCCCCAAAAACATCCAAAAACAACAAAAAAAACATAACATCTAAGCCATCGATATCGCCTCATATGAAAAAGTTGAACTTCGTGGAACAATTCTTTTAAGAAAATCCATTGCAACTTGAAAAGGAACTGTGTTAAGCCATATCCTCTGACTCAATCTAACCTTGTAGTTTGACTGGTCCCCAGCGGGATTGGCCTTTGACCTTTTGTGGACACTCTGACAAGCAGGCCCCATCAATGAACAGGGCGGTTGTGCCACTACCAGGCCAGAGTCCACCATCCTAAGCTTTGCAGCAGGGTGGCTACAAAAAGTACTGGACAATCTCCATCATCCTACATAAAGAGTTTTGGGACCTGCTATTGAAAAATAAATCTTACTTTCAATTTAAAAACTGGGAATCCTGGATCCCAAAGTCAGCAAGTGTTTGACCCCGGAAACGGAGCAGACATCGTGAGAATCTGAAAGTTTGATGTCGAAGCTTTTTGAGGCATAGCCACGATCAATCCATGTGGACTTGACTTTCTGGGATGCACCAAACAAGTCTAAGCAATGCAGTGTCTGCTCGACAGTGCGCATGGTCTCTTGCAAAAAGTCTGCCAAGTACTGTGTGTTCGCCTCTGCTGCGAACCACCTGAGGATGCTACGAGCTGAGCGCAGGAAAGCGTGTCCAAATCCATAAATGCATCCAAATGCATTCTATTCATCCAAATGTATCCAAATGTATCCAAATGTCTCCCAAAAGGGAATATGGTGAATTGTTTCCGAGCTACTCACCCTCATGTGTCAAGCAAGTTGTATCATCCTTCAAACTTGGCAAGGCCCCCAAGCTGCTCGCAAACAAAGCTGCCATGAAGCAACAACGAAGCATAGTAGAAGATACCATGGCCATGGCACTGCAACGACTGCAAGGCCACAAGAAAGGATATCACGACAGCCACCAAATCTCTAGACCCTGATCTCCAACTCCGAGCCATCAACATGGATTCAGCAGCAAAACGACCTTGCGCACTCCACTATTATGTTTCATGTCTATGGCTTTGTTTGGCAGGCATGATATCTTCCAGTACCTACAGAAACCATCAAAATATTGGGACACCATGGATGGATCCTACAAAAACATTTTTTTTACATTCCTGCAGAGCATCCGACGAATTCCACATTGCCAAGTCACTGCTTCCGGTATCGGATCATCCGCAGTCTTGTCAGGCACCATAGGTACCTAGGCTGCAACAACAGGAGGTTCAACTTACCAATTGATTATCATGTCACCTAAATACAATCTCACCAGGACGCATTGCATCTATTCTTGTTGAATAATTGTAAATGTATATTATATTATATTATATTATATTTTATTATATTATATTGATTATTATATTATATTATATTTTATTGTATTATATTGATTTGAACTTTCCATGTCTCACCTCCACAGACAAGACGCAGCTCCGGGATGAAGATCAGCACCATCTGTGGTCTTGTCAGACGTCTCAGGGACCTGAGTTCGCAGACTACAAAAATACTTCTGGGGTCAAAGGGTCTACAAAAACCAACCTGTGCAGGCCAAACTCACCAACAAGGCATTGGGGCCCATAGGGGATACAGAATCACCATGAAAACACATCGAGAAAAACCATGGAAAAACCAAACTTTTGGAGGCTGTTTTTTTCCATTCAATCTCTTTCATAAAAATTGCACTTCTGTGCATTTTTGGTGGGCCGGTCAGGACCTAGTAGTTTTGAGTACCCCCGAACGTCCCCGACACCACACTTTTCCACATTTTTTTTTCCTTGATCAGCCAATGCCTTTCAGATGTCCCAAAATTGTCCCTCTTCATTCATTGGATCTCACTGCTCCTCTGGATCCATGTTGAGAGCCTCGGTGACACGCCTCAAGGCCTTCTCGAGAAAAACCAACTTTGCCTCAATCCTGCGCAAGTTGGTCTGGGTCTGGGCATCTTCACTGTCTTCGAAATCAAAGATCACCTCGAAATCATCACCTTCTCCAACATTTGCGGGCTTGGTGCTCTGGGACCGCCCTAGCTTGGTTCCTGTCAACGGGTCCCTGACTGGAACTTTTTGTCCATGATCCTCTGCGGACTTGACCATCAACTCGACAAAGTGCAAGAATTTCTTGTGACAAAGTTTTGGTGAGGAGGCGAGGTGCTGAGTACACCACAACACCCACATCTGGTCCATCTCCCAGATCTGGATATATTTTTTGGAGCGACGATCTGTGCTGCCAAAGCCAAGCTCACATTGCTTCAGCTGGTCTAAGGAGAGGTGGCGAAACTCCTTGGTGCCCTCGTCCGGCATCTCCTGAAATTCCTGAACTTTCTGCAAGCGCTGGGCAAGTTTTGACATGGTGGCAGCGACACAATGGTAATGTCTTGGGCAATGGCTTTCTGCCTTGTGCTTGGAACTTCTAAGCCAAAAGAGGCTCTGGGATATGCAGATCGCAAGACAATACTTGCCAAACAGGTGCCCCTTTCAATCCTTAAAAAAACAAAATCCATGCATTTAAGCTACGAAAAGGTTTTTGGGCCTGGTACGTTTCCTATATTAATACCTCTCCCAAAGTTCTTCACATTATCATTTTTCAATACTTGTCAAGCCTAGCTATGATGGAAAAGTCTTTGGTATGCAACATTCCCAACCAATGGCACAGCCCCATCAGCCAAGACACCTGCTCATGGGAAAAGAATTCTGTGGTGTCAGGCTCGAAGTTGTCCAGCAAATAACAAAGCTCGTCAAAAGAATCCTGGCTGTTTGCCAGAACATTGTTCCCGTCACATGTTTGTACGCCCTGGCTTCGTCTTAAAGCTGTGGAAAAAAATGCTTCATTTGTATGATACACGTGTGTCTTCTTTCGCTAGACAACATCGCCCAAACCATATGTCTACACATCTACCCTTGTTGTTGGTCCACCCTCAACCCCCCAGAGCAGCAAGGCCACAGCCTTAGGCTTCGACTCATCAGCTGCAGCTTTCTCGGCGGTCTTGTTGTCCTTCTTCTTCAAGGGTTCCTCGGAGTGTGTGCAGAGTGACCTCTACTGGGACATTTCTACACAAACAACATCGCAATGCCATGGCCCTACAAAAACAAAACTAATTCCTCAAAAAAATGTTGCTTATCCTTTTTTGCTACAAAGTGATCCTTTTTGCTCCATTTTTATTCATTTTTGAGATCCTTTGTTGTGGTCCAACCCTCAACCCCTAGAGCAGGAAAGATACAGCTGCAGGCTTCGACTCAGCAACTGCAGCTTTCTCGGCGGTCTTGTTGTCCTTCTTCAAGGTTTCCTCAGAGCGTGTGCAGAGTGATCTCTACTGGGAAATGTCTACACAAACAACATCGCCAATGCTATGGGCCTACAAAAACGGACTGATTATATAATTCAAAAATATTCAAAATAGTTTGTATTAACTGTTTGGGATCCTTGTTGATTCTTTTTGATCCTTGTTTTATCCTCTTTTTTTGGTCCCACCCTCAACCCCCTTGAGCAGCAAAGCCACAGCTGCAGGCTTCGACTCAGCAACTGCAGCTTTCTCGGCGGTCTTGTTGTCCTTCTTCTTCAAGGGTTCCTCAGAGCGTATGCAGAGTTATCTCTGCTGGGAAATGTCTACACAAACAACATCGCCAATGTTATGGGCCTACAAAAACAAAACTGATTCCTCCAAAATAGTTTTTTTTCAAACTGTTTGGGATCCTTGTTGATTCTTTTTGATCCTTGTTTTCTCCTCTGTTTTTGGTCCCACCCTCAACCCCCTTGAGCAGCAAAGCCACAGCTGCAGGCTTCGACTCAGCTGGTGCAGCTTTCTCGGCGGTCTTGTTGTCCTTCTTCTTCAAGGGTTCCTCAGAGCGTATGCAGAGTTATCTCTGCTGGGAAATGTCTACACAAACAACATCGCGATGCCATGGCCCTACAAAAACAAAACTGATTTCTCCCAAATAGTTTTTTTTTCAAACTGTTTGGGATCCTTGTTGATTCTTTTTGATCCTCGTTTTCTCCTCTGTTGTTGGTCCCACCCTCAACCCCCTAGAGCAGGAAAGACACAGCTGCAGGCTTCGAATCAGCAACTGCAGCTTTCTCGGCGGTCTTGTTGTCCTTCTTCAAAGTTTCCTCAGAGCGTGTGCAGAGTGACCTCTACTGGGAAATGTCTACACAAACAACATCGCCAATGCTATGGGCCTACAAAAACAAAACTGATTTCTCCAAAATAGTTTTTTTTTCAAACTGTTTGGGATCCTTGTTGATTCTTTTTGATCCTCGTTTTCTCCTCTGTTGTTGGTCCCACCCTCAACCCCCTAGAGCAGGAAAGACACAGCTGCAGGCTTCGACTCAGCAACTGCAGCTTTCTCGGCGGTCTTGTTGTCCTTCTTCAAAGTTTCCTCAGAGCGTGTGCAGAGTGACCTCTACTGGGAAATGTCTACACAAACAACATCGCCAATGCTATGGGCCTACAAAAAACAGACTGATTAATTCAAAATAGTTTTTATTAACTGTTTGGGATCCTTGTTGATTCTTTTTGATCCTTGTTTTCTCCTCTGTTTTTGGTCCCACCCTCAACCCCCTTGAGCAGCAAAGCCACAGCTGCAGGCTTCGACTCAGCTGGTGCAGCTTTCTCGGCGGTCTTGTTGTCCTTCTTCTTCAAGGGTTCCTCAGAACGTATGCAGAGTTATCTCTGCTGGGAAATGTCTACACAAACAACATCGCCAATGTTAGGGGCCTACAAAAACAAAACTGATTCCTCAAAAAAATATTGTTAATCCTTTTTGCTACAAAGTAATCCTTTTTGCTTCTTTTTTAAATCTTGTTTTCTCCTCTGTTTTTGGTCCCACCCTCAACCCCCTTGAGCAGCAAAGCCACAGCTGCAGGCTTCGACTCAGCTGGTGCAGCTTTCTCGGCGGTCTTGTTGTCCTTCTTCTTCAAGGGTTCCTCAGAGCGTGTGCAGAGTGACCTCTAATTAGAAATGTCTGCGCAAACAACATCGCCAATGCTATGGGCCCAAAAAACAAAACTTATTCATCAAAAAAAATAAATGATTGTTTTGATCAATTTTGATTTTTTTTTGATCCTTGTTTTCTCCTCTGTTTTTGGTCCCACCCTCAACCCCCCTTCAGCAGCAAAGCCACAGCTGCAGGCTTCGACTCAGCTGGTGCAGCTTTCTCGGCGGTCTCGTTGTCCTTCTTCAAGGTTTCCTCAGAGCGTGTGCAGTGTGATCTCTACTGGGAAATGTCTACACAAACAACATCGCCAATGTTATGGGCCTACAAAAACAAAACTGATTCATTGTTGGATCCTCTGTTGTGGTCCCACCCTCAACCCCCTAGAGCAGCAAAGACACACCCCCATCCTTGCTTTTCTTCTTTCCCTTCACGGATTCCTCCAAGCCCCGTGCAGAAAAACAATGAAGGGTGAGCGAATGCGGGTGGCTCAAGAGGTTGTTGGTAAATAAGATTCAAACAATAAAAATATATACAGCTAGTGGCCGCCCATTGTGTACCCTGGGTGCAAACATGTGGCAGCTGGAGCGGCTTCATCTTTGCGCTCAGCCAAAAATTGCTTTTCAGTCTTTTCCTCAGCTTGAACACTTGACGGTGTCAAAATTTGCCTTTCTGTAGTACTCGGCTAATGCCCAAAACAATTTGTAGAGTTACCCCACCAAGGTGGCCGCACGCAGCCAAACAATCCCCACATGTAGTTTTTTCATGTTTTTTCTTTCTGTAATGGCTCAACCTTGTGCGTGACAATTTGTAGAGGCCCTTACTGCTGCCAAAACTCGACTTTCTGAATTTTCCTGTGGGCACTGATAGCCAAGCAAGTGGTCCATACCTTCTCATCCCTTAGAAAGTGGGTGAGGGCAATCTACGTTGACTCCAATGCAGGGACATGCATGCGACAAAAGGTCAAGGCTTCCACCCTGTAGATTTCAAAGGTTTTGTTTGTGTGCACCAATAAGGCAAAGAATATATACAGATATATACAGGACATTGCAGGACAAGGCTCCAATCATAGAACACATGGTGCCACTTGCGGCCATCTTTGCCCATCTTCTGGCACTGGGTGACTTAGATGCCACACTGGAATGCAGCATGCAGAACCCAAGCATGCAGCATGCAATCCCTATATTGGAAAAACATATTCCTTTCAAAGCAACAAAACATCATACTGTACAAGTTTACAACCCACCACGGCTTTGAATTTCTGTAGCTCATTCCACCATCCCTTCTGATGCAACCAAAGTGCGCCAACAGTGCCGCTTGGAATCCCATTCCGGTACATCCACCGATTCATGGCAACGCTCAATCTGGCATTGTTTCGGCCACCCTGGTGGTGGGGGCATGATTTCTTCTACACCTTCTGCAAATGCAGTCTTTCAAGCAACCAAATGGCTACAGAAAGCGAGCTGGCGTTTCGCTGGTACAAAGTGGAAACCTACAAAAACAGAACCAACCTTGCTACAATTTGGTCAAGCCGGAGTCTGGTATCCCAAGATAAGCCTCTGAAAACATAGAGCTGAAAGCTCTACAAAAACAATTTCCCAACCTGGGCTAACTATCAAAAATGAACTGGATACAAAAAGCTATGGCAATACCCTCGGGGACTAGGCACATTTAGGTATACAGAACAAGCCTTGTACTGGGGATATGCCCTACCTTTTCGTAGTGGAAATTTCAAGGAGGATATTATATATACATACGAAAAGAAAAAATACAAAAGACATCAAAAGACCTCGATTCTTGTTCGATTTCAGGTACCAAACTCGAAAGAAACTCAGAGCAAACTAATACACTTGTTCTTTCTTTTGAATTACTAAGATCCGACATACAGGCATTGCTGGTGACATGCGAGATTCAAACACCTCAAAGCAGGCGTCGCAGGTTTCCAAGAGAAACATCAAAACATCCTCTGCAAAGCCAGATTTGGGCTTGTCTTAAAGTAGGATACCCCCCATGTCATCCAGTGGTTAAGAACCTCGTTTTGCCTCTACTATTTGGATCTATTTGTGGTGTATAGTAACCATCTTTCAGACACACCCGGTAGAGTTGGCTTGTCCAATATATCATCTATCAAATATCCCCCATTCTTTTCCCATTCTGGTACCTTATCCCCGCATCTCCCGGCTTCTGCGAAAAACATCCAAGGTACTTCGTTCTCCAGGCATTCTGCACCAGCTCAGGAGGGGCGGACTGCCAGTGGTCTCAGCGGTAGCCAGTTCGCTGGTTATATCCGCCATAAACCCTCGGTGGTGCCCCATGGCTAAGTTGGTGCAAATAACCCCCATGGCATCTAGTTCGATATATGTATCATACACCCTAGTCACTGGAGTTAATTGCACCAGCTAAGCTAACTATGGGGCACCACCTTGTAGTTGTTGGAGTTATAAATATGGCGAGCAAACCCTTTTTTTGCCGTATAGCAGCCCCCAAATAGACAGCGGTTGGAAACCTCAAAAGTATGGGGGGAACATCATCTATACCATCCTGGAAATACTTTTTATCTTTGGGGGGATACCTACATTTGTTGAGTATGTAGGTGTTTTAATGGGAATATCATGGGATATAGAACCAAACATGACTACCCTCCTGTGTCATCAAACATGGCTAGCTCAGAAATCCCCGAAACATGGCTGGTCATCTAAAATGGGGGTTCGCCAGGTTTCCTGAGTCATAGGGCTACCCCCAGTTATCATCCATTTTAGTGGGATTTTCTATGTAAACCATCCAGTTACCCCAAGCTTTGGGGTAACCCCCAAGCGAGCTTACCCCCCATATTAATGGATTAAGAAAACATGCAGATTCAGAGGCTATGCTATCATATTTCGGAAGATCTGGAACAGATTTCAAGCAACGAATGGGGATATGACCTACAATTGGAAGTCCATGACAATGACAAAACATGGACTAAACATTGGCAAACCATCACAAGTTGCAATACCCTTTTTGCAGCAGTTGTGTCAACCCATTGTCAACACTCTGAGGATTTATGAATGGAAAATCAGAGGATGCTGCCACCACCAAGCCAATATCATGTCGGTTCCGAAGCCTCAGGGCACAACCTTGCTTGGGGAGTCTAGATTGACCAATGGACATGATGGACATGGTTCCAATCCTGGGATTTTCACTTCGAGGAAATTTTGTCTATTTTAGTCTATTTTTCATATATGGCATTCTCATCGTGAAATTAATGATAAATACAACTACCATTCGTCTACTTCGAAGTAATGATAAATACAACTATTGATAAATTAATGATAAATTAATGATAAATTAATGATAAATTAATGATAAATACACCTATTCATCTACCATTGGTTTTCATGGGGGAAAGCCAACAAAAAATTTCCCTCATCCACCCGGTATCCAGCGCCCCAAACTGGATCGATCGTCTTCGGGAGTCATGGAAGACATCACCGGAACGTTGTAGAAGGTGTTCTTAATCTGACGGAAAATGCTGCTGATTGCGAAATCAAAAAGATTCAATGTGAGAAGAGAGAGGCACTTTCCGAGATTTTTTTGAATGCATAGTCTTGCCATGAAAAAAGTTAAATCGCACACCCTTCCTAAATCCTCCTAAATCTATTTAGTCACCCCAAAAAAGATAGAAGACTAATCACTAATCTATCACTATTTTAGTAGGATGTTACTTTTCTATCTGTTTGGGAATTATTGAAAAAAAAAACGACAATTTTGAGGATCTCCGCATCATTTTCGTTTCTCCAACAAACAGCTGTGCATCATCTTCTCCGTGTAAGATGGATCAACTTGCGCTGGGCTCTTTTTTCGGGCACTCCACTTAGCCCCGTAATGCAGAAGCACCTCACTTAGCACAATTGAATATCTCACTCAATAGCAACTTCCAAAAAGATAGAAAAGTAAATTCCTATTAACAGAGTTGTAATTTGACCCTGTTCTATCTTTTTGGGGGAGTTACCATACACTTGTTATCTGCGACCCTTCCTTTGCAAAGGAAAGGGTCCCCTTTTAATGACTTACCCATGGCAGCCACGCAACCATCTCCACTGGTATGTCAACCGATCTGGAATCACTGGAACCGCAAGAAAGAAGCAGTTGAAGCAGGTAGGAAATCTGGAACCAAATGGAACCAAAAAATGATGCAAGTCGCCGTGGTTGTTGGTGATGTCCCTGAATGAAAAGGTTTGATTATTTTCTGGCCAAACCACCTGCATTATATCACCATTTCTCAGCAGCGAAATAGATCAGATTCTGTTGGACAAGGGAGGCTTGTCATAACATACTATAATAATTATCTATAATATATATATATATATACGATATACATCTTGCAACATATTGCAACCAAAAATAAGTTCTAAAGCGATTTTTTTCTCAAAGTGACAAGCTCCGCATCCAGCGGCCTCAAGCTGAGAAGAGAGGTCCTCAGGGCGCTGGAGTCCGAAGGAAGAGATAAATAATCCCATATTTCTATATGGTTAATGTGGTGATGCTGCTGTCAAAGCATTCACCAACTGGTGGTATACCTACCTACCCATGATTTATATCCCATTTCTATATGCTTATGATGGGAATCCCAGAAAAACCATACCATTAACTATTGAATGTTTCATATGATGAAAATTATCTGGTTGGTGGTGAGCACCTACCCCTCTGAAAAATACGAAAGTCAGTTGGGATTTTTTAAAATTCCCAATATGATGGGAAAAATGAAAGCCATGTTCCAAACCACCAACCAGGTGCGGGATAAAAAGGAGATGCAATACTAGTTGCTACATGTTTTCGAGGAGCTTTCCTGAAAATAGGCTACCCCCGCTACCCATTAAAAACGCTATCATCACGTGTTAAACTCTGAATTTTACATCCCCGGCACCGGGGTTCCGGGCGATCTTCCCAAGGAAAACATCCTCCTGGAGTTGTTCGTCGTATTCATCAAACCTCGTTTCGCAGTGTTTGATTGGCCATCTTGGAGGCTGGCAAAATAGCGGAAGCTGAAAAATGGAGATGATCAGTGCGGAATGGAATTGGGGGGGGGTTCCATAGATGGAGGTATTTCAAAATGCTTTGTAATGGAAAATCCTATTAAAATGGATGATTTGGGTACCCCCATTTATGGAAACCCAAAATTGGGAATGTGAGATTGGTCTTCCAATTAGTATCTTGTTGCTATCAATCAATAAATCTGGTGATTTTACAGATGAAACTTGCAAACCAGTTGAGCC